TTTTTTTTTTTTTTTTTTTTGGACAGTAAAGCATAGAGAGAAACTATAAGAGTTTGATGATATCACTTCATAATGGCTTGAGTTGTTTCTTTCTAATCAAAATATTTGCGAATTGATGTGATTCTTTTGCCCGATGAATACCACTTTAACAAAGACCAATTCGCGGACCTGATGATAATTGTCGGAATTGCCGGAACTATATCACAGGTAATCATATTTTTTTTTTTTTTGGTACAGGTAATCATATTTCACATATAGGATGCATTGTCATTACACGTTTTTGTCATATTTGCATATTCATTTTATATTATAATTCATTTATTATGTGTGTGTGTGTGTGATGCGCTTTGGCTTTTGCTATCTTTCAGTTGATCCTTATCCCTTATTAACTCCACTCACTGGAGAAGAGAAGATGCTTTCAGTGGGCCTCCTTTTCTGCTGTCCCCATGTAAGACAAACAAAACTCAACATATAAATGAGTAATATTATGCTCTCGTTCGAAGACAATAAAATCAGTACACATAACGCATGGCTCGGTTTTAACTGTACTTTCTTGTGTGCAATGCTACTTCACAGGATTGCTTGGGCTCCTTGGGTGAGTTTTTTGACCTGTTAACATGGAAAAATCAATATTTGCAGTTAAGGAGCACTGCCTCGAAACAAACAGGACCGAGTGAGCAGGTGATTGTTGTTACTTCCTGAAAAATGATTAGATATTTCGATATTCGGTTAGGTTGGCCTATCGGGTTCGAAATTTTTGTCTAACTTATTAAATGACGAATGGTAAATAGGGAAAGGCTCGAGGTTGTATTACAGGCATATGTTCCTTTTCTAACATTGTCTCCCCTCTTGCTTTCAGCCCTTTGACAGGTAACTACGAATCCTCCTTTTTTCCAACTTCAAGTATGAAAAAGGCAATAAAATAAGAAAGTAAGAAGAAGGGAAAAATAAAGTCTGAAAAAAGTTCATGTTTTTTTCGTTCGGCAGCATTGTTTCTATCGGACAATGCACCATTTCACTTTCCTGGATTCAGCATTATGGTCTCGGGCGGCTTAGATGCTGTAATAATATACGACATTTAATTTTTGCAATTTGTGTTTTTCATTTTGTATCATGTAGATGATAGCATTCGTGCAAAGTCTCATGATTAGGCCAACTCCATCTCGTGTGGATAACTGCAGTAATATTAGCACGTCTGACCAAACAGGAGTTTGAACTGCAGAAATGTTGGCTATCCATCTTTTGTTTTTTACTTCTCTAAAATGGTCGCGATAAATGAAAAGCTAGAAAATAGGGAAGATCAGCATCTATATGATATATTCCTGCAGAAAAGGCTACATCTTGTTTGATGAATGAATGGCTGTTGAGGAATATTATCTCAGTTTAGAATCACACATGTTGATGAAAATACTAATGTTGTGGTTCTGTAGATAGTGAGACACTCAATATATATATATATATATATATATATATATATATATATAATAAACAACAGATTTTGTTTCAAAACGTAAGGCCGTCCAGCCAACGTGAATAGAAATGCAAAGCCTCTTGTGGTTTGTATTCTGGCATCGTTTGTCCAGCTCCCTTTATAGTGAGGAATGTGAAGGGATTCAATATGAAAATTGAGGTTATGTGTACCCATAACGGCACCAATAAAGAAGCTGCTCGATGGAGGGCGGATCGTCCATATTGCAACTTTTAAAGCATTTGTATGCAGGGTAAACATAAGCCAAGTTAAACCTGTAAAACACAATATAAAATTACATACATATTGTGTACTGTAAAAATTACATCTTAGAATAATAATGGCCACCTTCATGATCAATTCCTGTCCCAAACAGATAATAAATTGTAAGGAAATTTACGATGGAGGCAGCGGTGAGCTGGGTCTGCCCGCGGGTGGCAGTTAAACTCGGATCTAGAAATTACCTGATTTTGAAACCGGATAAAACTAGGGTTTCCGATTCCCCAAAAACTTAACTCATTTTAAGCCAATAATAAGTTGGTGATGGGTTTTTCGATATCTTTTGCTGATAGTTCTTGCGTGCAAAGGAAATATAAAAAAATATGTTGCTAACGGTTTAACGTGAAGAGTGAGGGAATAAGGGAATTTAAAGGCAATAAGGTTTATGGTCATCGATATATTTTTTTTATTCCATTATTTATCCATAGTTTGTAAAAAATTTATTTACAAAAATATTCTAAAAGATAAAAAACGTGAGATTCTTGCTTTAATATATTCTAAGTGTCCAAATTCGTTTTTAATTTTACGTATAGAATTTAAACTTTGAATTTCATATTGCCAATATTAATCTACTTTTTAATTTGTTTATTTTTTTGGTACATGTACTTTCCGGTTTCTAGATCTACAGGAGAACCGACTAATAATATCTAACACATTTTATGTGCGTGGATTTAAACTATACAGACTAAACATTGTTATGTTTTAATCTACTTAATAATAAGCATTATGACACCAATTGCCATCTAAAATGGTGTCAAAAATTGAAAAGCTAGGATAAAGTGTAGCGTCTATATATGATAAATTTCTGCAGAAAAGGTTGCATCTTGTTGAATGAATGCCTGTATAGGAATATTATCTCAATTTCGAATCCGACATGTTGATGAAACGTTGTGATTCCTATAGACAGTGATACATAATTTTGTATTTTTCTATCTTTTGGGTCAATCGATGTATTTAATTATTTATTTTCTTTGTGTGTGGCAGTGGCTCTTATTAGTTGTTTCTGTCATAGTTTTTAAAACCCGGCTCCAATATCGACCCGAAAAGGTTTTGGTTGATTAGGTCAATTGTTGAACTGGATAATTAATTTTAAAATTTTTAAAACTATATATAGAGTATTGTCATATAAATATACATAAAAGTAACAAAATTAAATGTTTTGCATATAAAATTTGTACATTAAAGTGTTAATAATATACATTTTATAATAAATTAAATGTTTTAATCTTTGAATTTCATGTTGCCAATATTAATCTACTACATCCCTCCTCCCTCCCTATATATTAATTCAAAACGTGTTGAACCTATGTGGCGGATTCTCATGCTTCGGATGTTGACATAGCAAAAATCTATGCTTCGTGATGTTGTTTTATTATTATTTTTTGCTTTGGAGTTAGGTTTGGTATTAGACATAAATAACTTTACACATATATTTATTTACTCAACACCCATGTTATACATGGGTATTAGTACTAGTATTAATTTATTCATAATCCAAGTCATAACTAATAACATCTAACACATTTTTATGTGCGTGGATTTAAACTATACAGACTGAAATAAACATTATTATGTTTTAATCTACTTAATAATAATAAGCATTATGAACGCTGTCCTCACAAAAAATATGTTATGTTGGTAACTGAAAATCCATCTTCTTGCAAGACTTCTATTCCACAACGATTTAATGATTTATACAAACAAACAATTCTAAAAGTAACTAATATCAGTACATAAAGGTTAAAAATGTGTAGGTCCAAAAGAACTAACTCAGTAAGTTAAACTCACAGTAGTAGTGTTTGAACATATGAACAGTTCTATCATTTGTTAAAAAAAAAAAAAAAA